GGGGTTGTTCTTTAGACCTAAGGCATAAAGTCTCCTCTGTTTTATTCCAGTTTATTTGTGCGTTTACCTCCCTAAAACTTGTTTGGTTTACTACCATACTAAATGCTGTATGTGTTGCTTTCAGCCAGGCAAGTCTTATGTTTCAATTATGGAGGAGTTTATTCAGCACCTGTATTGCGTTGTGCTTCTTTTCAACTAAATTTCCATTTCCCAAAGGCTGTACACATGAATGTGTATACATCTCTTTTTCTGTATGTGTACACACAGACAAATCTATACATTTCTGCATATAAACAAATACATCATCTTAACAGAGTGCTCATTTTCATYGCGCCTTTGAATTTCTGACATATCCAAAACCTTCGTAAACATCCTTAAATTTAACAAGGTTTTAATTTTTTCTGTCCTCTATCTTTGTAATCAAWCAGAACAGAATATAATSAATGGAAGCCTTGTTTCCCTACCCYAGAGGTGTCTTAAATTCCAAAATTATTTATACTTTTAAGAGGCTAAAGCTGTGAAAGAACTAAACTATTCTCTTCTTACTGCATATTTCTATCTGCATTGAATGCTTACAGAGTGAGGTTCGGGTCAGGTAGGAAAAACACCCTAACCACGGGACTGCATCGGTGGATTTCAAGGAGGTTTGGGGGTTTTTGTGCTTTTTCTGCCCCCAAATAAAGGTTGAAAGAGTGTCGTTGGTYTCAAGTCCATGCGAGGCTCTTGCTTTTTCAGTGCACACTATCTCCACACTTTAAGTGCATTTGCCCACATGTGTTTCAGTAAATCTCAGTTAAGTGTGGAATGCTGATTTCTTCTGACTTCCTAARTAGAATATTATGGAGACCTGTGTGTTTTAAATTAAAACATTTCCCAGGCCTTGAGTACAAGCAAGCTTCAAGAGAAAAGACTGTTTAAACCTATGGGGACAGTCCTATATTTAGATTACATTAATTCATAAATATTATACTAAATACCTCTTAAATTGGCCTTAAATGACTTCAAAGATAATGCATTATAATATGGCTGTCCTGAGAGCACTAACCTTTATATCTCCCAGTAACTCAGCCTTTAAGCATACTCCACTGCTAGATAAGATGGGGGGAAGTTATGAATGAATGTCTTGCTAAATTGTTAAAGTCTGATTAGTGAACTCGGTGCGTGTGTGTGTGTGTGTGTGTGAGGGAGCGTGGGTGGGTCAGCTCAGCTCCGGTGGATTTGCACCCGTGGATCTCAGCACACAGCCTCTCCCCAGCCCCAGAGCAAAGTACCAGAGCAGGAGCCTGTTCCTGCCCCGTGTGGAGAGAAGTGAGGATGGGGGGAATATGCAGCAGCTACGCTCGTGCAATGAAAGCTTATTTTCTTGGGGATCTGGCAAGCCTTTCCCGCCTTCCCCCACATGCTGCTTCCCCCGTACCCTTTCTCTCTTTGCGTATCTGCAAGAGAATCATAATCCCTTGCCTCTTCCCTGATATCTGTACTGGTATCAGCCAGAGCTGCTGGTGAGACAACCTGGGACTTCACTCTCCTTTTGTGATAGTTTTTCTTGGAGGAGGGCATAGTAATGTACTTTATCCTTAGGTTCTTAATTTTCGATTTCCTCCTGCTACACAGGGGCACCGCAATAGCATATCTTCATAATATTTTCAAGAGTACACATCCTTTGATCTCGTTTCAATGGATTTACACCTGAAATTACCCAGGTTGCTGGTTTTTTTTTTTTTTCACTTTAAGCTGATTCCTGTCTCTTCCCTCCTCTCAGAACAATCCCACCTTCTACCCCTCCACACCCAAGGTTTGCTCTCCGTACACTTAAATAAACTACAGCCTACTATTAACCCTTCAGGGTATACCACTGTCACAGCCTCATCCCCTGAATTAGGAATGAAATCAACTGAGAGTGATGGATCAATTAATGTATAAGCATTATGCATCTCTTATGGAAAGCATCTTGGGGTTTTGTATTGCCAACCTACCCCTGTGAGCCAAGTTGGACTATCTTTATGCAATTCTTCACCTATGCCTGCAAAGCAAAGCCAAAATAAGGACATCTGAGTGAATACAATGCTTCACATGACTGCATTTAGAGAAGGAAAAAGAGAAAAAATAGATTAAAAATGAAATAAAATGAATAAAATAATAAAAAAAAGCCAAACACAACCCTCATCCTTCAAAGCCCCATCACGCTTTTTGACTTAATAGTAATTAATCACTACTGGCAAGAAAGTAATTTTTTTCCAGGTAGCCAGAGGCACATTTTTATCAGGATTAGCTAATAAATCAGCGGCATCGCTAGAAAGGAGTTCAAACTCTTCTCGGATGTACTAAATAAAACCGATCTCTGAAATGCTGGCAACTCGGTGTCTACTGGAGCTTCGCTCAAACCCTAGCCTGCAAAATAACAATCATCATCATAAATTTTCTTTCCAAAGTCCAAAACTTACAGCAGGTTAAAAAATGACTGTTTGTTTTGAGATGAACTCATGCAATTTGGTTTGATGAGGTGACAAGATTCCCCACCTGGCTTTTTTCCTATGTTGCAGCTTTACAACAGAAATGAAATGAAGGGAAATGAAGTTAGTATCTTGCTTAATTCAGGGATATGTGTTAAACACATCCAAGCAAGATAAATGATCCCTCTCTCTCTCTCGTCTCTCTCTCTCCTCTCTCTCTCTCTCTCTCTCTCTCTCTCTCTCTCTCTCTCTCTCTCTTCCTCTCTCTCTCTCTCCCCCCCTTTCTGAGTTTGTCTCTGTGAATACAGGCATACAGTAAAAGCAAAACTGAACTGAAAGAGGGAGCACTCAAGTCTACGGAATAGAAATCAAAGTTAGCGCATAGATTGAATAATTTCAGGTTTAAGATAAAACATAACAAAAGAATAAAGTCTCATCAACAAAGCACAGTTACCTCCCACTACCAAAAAAAAAAAAAAAAAAAAAAATTACTTTATCAAAGTGTTAGCCCAAAGATTTCCTCTACACCGTGTTGAGTGATTCTCTTCAGTGTAGCTTTTACTGCTGTTATTTTTATTTTGCAGAAACCTTGGATGATTTTTTGCAAACACATGCACACACACGCACGAGCTCAGTGTCTACTCTCACTATGAGACAAAATCTCTCAGGACCTCTCCTTCCCTGCACTTCTTACTATGATTTTTATTGCTAAAATTAATAATTATTGTAGTACGGCTGTCATGTTTAAATGATGCCAATCAGACCTTGATGGGGCTTCTAGGAAGCCAGTCTGAAAAGAAAGCAAGATTCGAAAGAGCTACACCGATCATTTTTAAAAATGAGAAGGGTGTTTGAAGCGACCGGCATGAAAGGATGGAAGAAATATCCTATAACTTAGGCTGAGTGCTTAGTCCCCGAGCCCTGARCATTTTCTCTAGCCTGTGTAAAACTGATACTTTGCACTGTCAGGGTATATTTTCATTCGTGTTTCCTGAGAGTGGAAGCAAGGAGGGGAGTGAGTGGGAAGGAGGCAGAGATGCCTGCTAAACATGCTGTTAAGTTCAAGATTTACAACTCGCCAAGGCATCTGGAAAGCTGGGGAGCCAGTAATGCCATTACCGGTGACTGTCACTGCCAGGAGTCCACCAAGCTGGACTAGACACTGGTACTGAGGCTGTCCTGTGAAAGATACAACTTCCACTCTCCCCATGGCCCCKTGCAAAACGCTTTCTCCTCCTGCACTAAACCTGGAGTCACACCCCAATCACTTCTGATCCGGTCTTTWTCTTTTCCCTTTTCTTTCTYACAAATAAATACAAACACACACATGCACACACAGACACAGAATCTGAATTAATAAGGCGGCTTATATCGCTCCCGGTTCTCTCCTGCTCCTAAGCGGGGCTACCATGCAAATTACCTTCAACTTCCTCCCTGTGAGTCCTACTTTCCTACCCGAGGATCTGAGCATCTCTCCCCCACTACACACACCCTCCCCCACTCCCAAAACGGAGCACCATCTAATCTGATAGGCACCTCCGGAGAGCCTAAGCTGAGCAGGGAAGCGAGCGGGCAGAGATGGAGCAAGTGAGGCATTGCGTGAGGAGTGCATCTCCACTACCTTTAGAGAAAACCTACAAAGTTCCCGCCGTGGACTTCGGGCACATTAAAGTAGTGCTTGGAATATGCCTGGTCAGAGACTTCTTCCCTCTGGAACTAAGCTGCCACCTGTCCCTTCTGTCTTGCCTTCTCTCACACACGCACACGTATCGTGATTTAATGCACACACCCCTGCCCCGCTTGAAATGGGCTTCTTTATTGTTGTTTATATCCCTGTTCCCATATTGAATAGAACCGAAAAGAAATAGCCCCCCGGAGCAACTCACTCTCCTCCACTTCTTGCTTTGTAGAGGACTAAAAATAATAATTGTGACAGCAGCAAAAACAAAAATTGCCAAAAAGAAACAGAAAAAAAAGGGGGGGGGTGTGAATAAAAAAGACTGAAAAAAGAAGAAAAAGGGGGGGAAAAAAAAAAGAAAATAAAAGAAAAAGAAAGCCGCCGGTGCCAGATACAGAACAGTTGTAAAATAAGGGGTTGCCAGCAAAGCCGGGGACAGACAGACGGACACACACACCCCCGGGCTGACGATGAGCGGCTCCCGAAGGTAAATACAGAGCACCCGCTCCCGCTTCAGCACCGCGGACAGCTGCCGCCGGCCCCGCGCCCGCGCCGCCGCTCGCCCGGCGCTCCCCGGGAGCTGCCTCTCACCCCCCAAAAAAAGCGGGGAAAGAGATAAAAAATACTAATAAATAAGTCAAACGGAGCTGACTCCCTGCCCTGCCTCTAGCTCTTCTCTTCTCAGGATGGGTCTATTATTTCTTTCCCTGCCCCCCCAGCCTACCGCCTCCGCCCCCGGGCCAACCAAAAATGAAATAAAATGAAATGAAATCGAAAGGAAAGAGAGAGAGAAAGAGAGAGCCGGGGAGGGAGAGGGAGCCTGCCTTTCTCTCCCGATCTCTCCCGGGAAAGTTCAGGAGGTAACTCACCTTTGTGCATGCCAGTGAACCTGTCCTTCAGCACCGTCAGTTCATAGATCTTCCCGAACTCCTCGAAGAGCGGTTTGAGGTCTTTCTCGTCCAGGTTACGGGGGATCTGCCCAATAAAGAGCTTAATGGCATCGTGGTCCTTCATTGGGATGGTGGATGGGTTTCCGGGACTATGGTTTAATCCGTTCATATGCCCGTTGGTGCTGGGGTTGCTGTGATTGCTACTCAGGCTGGTATTGTCTGGTTGTCCGTTTGCTAACGTGGCCATCTTTATATACATAGAGAAAATCTTCTTTCCTTTTTTTCCCCCTCTTCTTTTCTCTCTCTCTCCCTCTCTCTCCCTCTCTCTCTCCCTCTCTCTCGCTCTCTCGCTCCCTCTCCCTCTTTCACACACACACACACACACACTCACACACACACACACTCCTCCCTCTCTGTCTCTCTCTCTCTCTCTCTCTCTCTCTCTCTCTCTCTGGGTCTGATCTGATTTTTTTTTTACATTGAAGATCTGTGTCCTTTCCGTTTAAACAGGCTGGATCGGTTCAAATTCCCAGCCAGACTAGGGGGTGGGGTGTGAGTGTGTGGATGTGTGTGTGTACGGGGAAGGGAGGCTAGGGGTGGGGGATTGCTTTTGCCTCTACTCTGGCTAAACCCCCTCCTCCCATCCAACCACCCCCCTGTCTGTCTGCCCGGCAGAAGCTTAATGGTATCTTCCAACACAGCCCCTGGCTATAAATAGCACTAGGCGCATGGCTCTTTGAGAGACAGTCAATTTCTATTGTGCCAAGTGAGCAAAGGGGAACGGTTGCGTTTTTAGGACCAATGATGATGATTTTTTTTTTTTTTTCTCCTTTTCCTTTGCAAGCCCTCCGATCAATCGCTGTCGTTATAATTTCAGTGACCATCGGGAAATCTGCCTTTTTATTTGAGAGGGGGAAAAAAAAAACCCCAAGCCCAAGGTGTTCGGACTTCTTTCTGTTATGATGATGCCTCTTACTTATTATTTACTCTCATTACAATTTCGCAAATGATAATAAAAAGCAGTTGAGATACGGATGAAACCCCCGGCTCAGAGGTTGCTTTTGCTGTTGTTGTTGTGATTGTGATGTTACAAGCTCTCTTTACTATATCTGTTCATGTTGCATCTAAAAAAAAAATGCATGCTCTTTAAGCTCTTTTTTTCTATAAATTATGTTACTGCTGATCACATCGAACTAGGAAAGCGCAAACTGTATTACTGTAGCGCTTCAGAGAGAGAAAAAAAAAATCGAGATGACTGTTGTTAATTTTCGTGCTGCCGATATTTATTTTATGTATAGTCAGTGCGGGCGTTATCTCCTATGCGGGCTTTGTGTGTGTGTGTGTGTATATTGGAAAGGGATTGATTAGGCAAGATTTTCTTGCCCGACTTTCAAGCCATCAGGATATTCTCTCTGTCTCTGATGGAAACATAAATCGTATTTTGTAGTCATCAGTGATCGGGAGTTGCTTGTCCGAACAATGCTCTCTAGACAAAGTGTACTGTATGGTGGAGACGAAATCAGCTCTTCTTTCATAGCATCTGGGGGTGGGGAGGGCAGGGAGCCTCGGATTAAGGACACAACTCCCCCTTGTCCCCCAAATAATAATAACAGTAATCCGAACAGTAACAAAACAAGGCTCTGCGTGCGC